CGGTCAATTTCCTGAGTTTGTGGTTGAAACCGGTCTCCCCGGGCCGGCAGCTTGACATCTCCCCCTGTGGTGTGATACTCATGTTTCCACCTTGAACATGTCAGAATGAATGAGCGCTGTGGTCTGAGGATTTCGAAGATTTATAATGGAGTCTTGAAAATTTACTTAAGGAATATGTACTTCCCCAAGCAATAACAAATATTACTACAAATGACCATATTAAATTAAAGTAACTTAGGCATTTCTGATTTGTAGGAAAGTTCAAATTAATCTACGGCCGTCTCAGTTTCAGAATGAAAACACGGCTTTGCCCGACCGCAGGTTTCCAGGCGGCTAGTCAGCAGTGAATGAGCCCTCTCAGAATATTCAGTTTTCTCTATTTGTGGAAAAGCAGTCCTAGCAGGAGGAGACCCTGAAAAATCCACCATAGTTGTATCTGCAAACCGGGAAACTTCAAAATCTCTAGCAATTTTTTTTTTCTATAAACTGGTGAGTATGAGATGTATTATTTTTATAATTTTACAAAGAAAAGAAGGCTCTCTTACCCATTCTTTATTCCTTCCCCGATTAGCTCTTTGAGTGAGCAGGCAAGGAGCCTGGTTCAAAGGCTTTTTTCCTTCATTAAGAAAACAATAACTAAAAAGTTAAAGTACTGGTAAATGTTTTATAACTGGCTCTCGGAGCAATAAAAAGCCCTGATTTGTAATGTTTGCCTATTTCCATGGTGTAATACTCCCACCGTAGCCAATTTCAAGCTACCAACGTGACGTCACTGATCAGAGCTGGGACGAGGGGCACTAGCGGTAGCCCACCGTCAGTAATTCTACCAGTCAGAGACAATATCCGTGGAAATAACCTCCATAACATGGATAATAGTAAAATTGAGTAAAATCATTAAGAACTCACAAGTTTTGAATAGTATTGCCTTTGTTTTTGATACACTTACTTTAATTATGAGTTCACGTCATTTCAGTTTTAATAATGGGTGTGTTTAATTAAATAAACATAATTGAATTTTAATAATGGGGGCTCACAAAATCCCTGGAAATGTAAGGTTCAGCTCTCAGCAGCTGGCACGAGCCGCTCTAGGACACTGCCGCAAGACGAGAGCAGTTCCCATGGCCGGGCAGAGAGAATTAGGGGAGACGGGCACAGCCAGCCCTCCCCACGCCCCGGGAGCCAGGCAGCCCCACGCAGCAGAGTTGGCAGACATGGAGAGTGCGGGGCCTCCTCCCCTGCTCCCCAGCCGCCCCACTTCCAGCATGTAAACCCCAGGCGGATTCCCTCTGCCTTTCCCCAGGTCCTAAGCCCTGACTCCTGAACCCCTGTGGAGACCATGACTCTGAAGCAAAACCCAGAAAGCTCGGGGTTCTTGGTGCCCATGGCCGCTTGGTGGGACGGGAGCTTTTGATTCAGCCTCGAGCCTTGATTTCTCTGATGCCAGCTCTGCCACCAGCCGTCAAAGTGACCTCAAACAGGTCACTCCACCGTAGATCCCAGTGTAAAATGAGGTGACTAGACTGGGTGGCCTGGCTCACCTGGGTTTCTCCCAGCTCTGTATCCCCACAGTGGCTGTGATGACTGAGGGCTTCGGAAAACACGACCTATCATATCAAAATCCATTGAGAAAAACTCATCAGACCACAGAGCAATGTAGCTTCCCACGCCTGAACTCCCCCTCAGCCTCGGGAACACGGGGGATCATTTTTAATCCCGACAGTGGGCAGGCCTGGGCTGCGGTCTTTCGAGGATGCGTCAAAGTGCAGCTGCCTTTGAAGGTGGCCGCGGTTTTGTCTGGCTTTCTGGTCAGAACAGGTGACTCGAGTCTTCATTCTTGGCTGCATCACAGTCTTGACTCAGGCCCCCTAAGCGATTCCTCGCCACTGGGAATCTGCCCATCTCTTGACAAAAACCTATACTGGTGGAACATCGCTTTGCAATTTTAGGGTTTAATGTGTCGGAAAGGAGGCAAAGTCCTGGTTAGTACGGGAGAGAGGAAGAAGGGCCGCCCAGCACTGCCCGGGAGAAGCTGGGGAGTTTCACCCAGCGCGCCCCAGGCATTTGTACGCCCAGGCCTGTGTGTCTGCCGCAGACAGTGGATCGTGGTAGGGCAAGGTCGCCACGATTTATGGGGGTAGCTACAGGTCCACACCCACCAATGCAGGAGAGAAAGGCTGGAGGTGCTTTATGAGTTTCACGTTGAGTGCTTTTCACGTGGTGGCGCCTCTTTCTCATGGCTGGAAAGACACAGGGCAAAAGTAGACCGCCGTCCACAGAATAGATCGCCGTCCACAGAATAGATCGCCGTCCACAAAGTAGACCGCCGTCCACAGAATAGGCTGCCGTCCACAGAACAGACCGCCAACCCACAGCCGAGCAAGTGCACGTGGAGGGGAAGGCGGGGGATGGCGTATGTGTGTGGCAGTTGTTTATAGTTGTTTCAAGTATCTGTGCTGTAGGAGAATATGTATTTTACAGTAAAAAGCATGAGCTATTGATACTTTTTAACCAGAGTGAGAGAAGACATGCAGGGACCCTGCCCCACATTTGACAAGAGTTTGACACTTTCCGTGACTCTCGGGGCCGGGATGGGAGCTGCCCTGGTGCAAGAGGGGAGAGAGTTCTCCACGCCCCGGGGATGTGTCTGGGGACCAGATGGCCACGCTCGGGAGGCCTGAGGCTCCGTCTTCCTATCAGTGTGCGTGGATTTCTCATTCCCCCGGTCTAGGTGTGATTTACCAGTCCGGGGCAAGTCTTTTCATGGAGAGTGTTGCCTGTTAGCACAGTTGACATGCCATCTTAGCAGATTACCTGAATTAACCAAAGATCAGATTCTCCTACAGAAAAAGATGTGTGTTAACCCTTTACCTTCAATTATTAGTCCCATTTCACAGAAAATAAAGCTGAGGTTTGAAGAGGTTCCTCAGCTTGCCTCAGTCACGTAGTCAGGACTTGAACCCTGGCCCCTCTGAGTCCCATGCTCTTCACCAAAATGCAGTAGGTAGGGTTTCCATTCTACCCCACAGCACATCTGTGTTTATTTCGCTGTTTGAAGCACCAGCTTGAACTGCCTACACTGAGAACAGCTGGTCTTCCTGGAAGAAGCCTGCCCCGTAGCCTGTGGTTTCGCCCACACTGCTAACCCCAATTTAGGAAGTTCAACACCAGCCGTTAGTAGAAAAATAAAAGAAAGCACAAGTTCCTTGCTTTTCTCCAAGAGCCCATATTCTGAGTAGACGTTTATGAAGAGGGGATAAAAAGGCAGTTTTAAGAGCAGTAGAGCCATCTAAAAAGAAACAAGTACCCAGGGCTGTCGGGTGCAAACAATCCTGCTTTGCATTGTGCCTTTCCTTCAAATCATCACCATCCTGTAGCACCAAACCTCAGGGCTCAAGGCAAAGCGTGCAGCTTTTACTGCAGCTCAGCTCCACATATAAAATCCCGTTTATATATCTAGATTGCATTGCGGGAGCCGTTCGCGAAATGTGCCATTCGTGTTCCAAGTATAAAACTCGACGTTTTAAGACACGCTAACAGTATTGTAATATTGTTTCATTGGGTGTTTGATCGACTCTCAGCTTTCGCCAGGGCCTGGAACTATCAGTTGACATCCCAGAATTCAGAGCCCGGTGAGGACAAGCGCTGAGGAGCGTTGTCAGCAGAACGGAAATGGGTCGAGTGAAGCAGCGTGTTTAAGCCGCAATGGAATTTAAGATGAATTAAAATCATCAAAACACGGTTGATGGAGGGAGGCAGGGTACACGGAGGCCTGGAGGGGCGTGTTTATGCTCTGTTTTTAGCCTGGGCAGGTGCCTGTTTTATTACCTGAACACTTTCAAACGCTCAATTCACTAGGATTTCCATCGCAGTTTCCAAAACCCAGCTGACAAAGTCTGCCGATAATACAAAAGAGGCATTTGCTCTTTAGGTAGGAGATGTTTCACAGTTTTGAATCTTATGTTCCATGAATTTATGAAATGTTAGATTATACAGAGAGGAAAGAGCAAAGTTTGAATATTACTAACCTCAAAGACATGTTGAAAGAATACTTTTGAGCCCGGTGGTGTGGCTCAGTGGTTAAGCGTCCACCTATTAAACCAAGAGGTCACTGGTTCGATTCCCGGTCAGGGCACATGCCTGGGTTCCAGGCTCGATCCCCAGTAGGAGGCGTGCAGGAGGCAGCCCATCAGTGATGTTTGTCTCTCATGGATATTTCTCTCTCTTGCTTCCCTCTCCCTTCCTCTTTCTCTAAAAAATCAATTTAAAAAAAACATTTTTCTTAAAACAAAAAAAAAGTATTTTTGAAGTTCCAAGATGAAATTCTCAGGAAAAGTCACCTTTACCTTTCTGAATAATAAAGTTGCAACCCAAACGGATGCTTAGGGGCGACCTTCCTCCTCGAACTGCTCCTGTCCCTTCCTCTTGAGTCTGCTTGGGCCGGCTGACTCAGCCATCTCGTAAATGTTGCCTGAAATGGGCTTGGCAGGGTGCTAGCAACGACGGTAGGGGCGTCAGTCCTTTCCTTTCAGCTGGGGGCTGGGGACACAAGACCTTCAGTCAGCCAAGAAAACCGTGAAAACCCAAACGACAATGTGAGAACCCGGAGTCATGCACAAAGAACCCGGGTTTTCATAAGGCCGCTCTCCCCTGGGATGGGCACGGGCTTTGAGGACGGGCGGGCTTTCCACGGGTTGGAAGGGAGAGTGGACAAGTCTTGTATTTGACGCGCTGCCGTGGGTGCGGGTGGCATCCGTGCGTGGGTTTCCCACACGGAGGGTTCGCCTGGGGGAAAATGGACCTGACCTTGAGGACCCTCAGACCAACCAGCTAGAAGGTGATTTCATCGTGTAGGAAAAGGGGTTCTGTTGTGAGTTTTGAGACTGGGACAGACCTGCGAACAAGCCCCTTTCCCAGGAGGGGGCATTTGTCAGAGTTGGGGTCATTGTCGTAAGTCCTGCTCCGTAAGTGGCCCGGTCACTCACCTGCCGCTGTCCCTGCAGGTTCATGACGGACGCTGCCCGCCGAGAGCAGGAGTCCCTCAAGAAGAAGATCCAGCCGAAGCTCTCGCTGACCTTGTCCAGCTCCGTGACGCGGGGGAATGTGTCCACGCCACCCCGCCACAGCAGTGGAAGCCTTACTCCCCCTGTGACCCCGCCCATCACCCCCTCCTCGTCTTTCCGCAGCAGCACCCCAACGGGTGAGTGGGGGCTGGGGGCGTGTGAGTGCGTGTGTGTGCGTGTGTGCGTGTGCTGGGGCCACAGGCAGGTGGTGATTCAGCCCCGCCTGTGTGACCCTGTCCTGGTCCATGCAGAGTCTGTTGATTCATTCATCTATTTATGATTGAAGAGATATTTGTGAATTGCTGTTTATAATATGTATGCGGTCATGGATTTATAGATACATTTCAAGCCCTTGCCGTTTATGGTGTGTGAGGCGACGCAATGTTGTGGATTTTGCTCAGATGGGAGAGTAGATGGAACAAGGTGGCCCTGTGTGGATTATTGTTGAACTTGGGCAGTGAGGACACAGGGGTTCAGGATACCAGTCTCCCAGTTTTTGCTGCTTTAAGATATTTCCCCTAATAGAATGATTACTCTAAAAACATTTAGAATACCTCCTACGTGCCAGGCACCGAGCCACATAGTGAGCCAGAGGGGACCCCGGCCCTGCCCTGAAGAGCTTAGGCCTCGTGGAAGAGGCAGGCGTCCTAGGGGCCCCACAAGCACACACTCACCTTCGCCTCCCCAAAGTGCAAGGAACAAAAAATAAAACCAGCCAGAGGTGAAGATCAAACTCAAGTTTATTAGGGCAGAAAGCTAAACGACAGATGGAGCTTGGATTCGTAGCCCTTGGGCTTCTTCGTGTGCCTTCCCTGGGTTTAACTTATCTCCCAAATTACCCTCTGAGTTTACCGGAGGGCGCGCAGCCCAGCTCGCCCCTGGCCCGCAGCCGAGCGTACGCAGGCCCTTCTCCCCGCTCAGAGATCCAGCGAGTCAGCGAGTCAACACGGTAGAAAGAAGCTGGAAAGGCCCCTCCTCTTTTCCCATCGGAGGAGCAGGGACTGTGTCTTCCTTCTGCCCGGCTGGAGTATAGACAGGCATTAACCAAATAAATGCCCCAGTAGGCATGACATTTAACCGTGACGAGTGCCCCATGAGGGAACTCAGAGGTGTGAGAGCATCCAGAGGGGAGTCGGGCCCCACCAGGCACGGCTCCCCGTGAAAGATGAGTGGGGGGCAAGTCGGTAAGGAGGGGCAGGAGGAGCAGCTGGGGAAAGGGGTTCCCTAATGAGTTTGGGGAGAGGGGTTGAACAAAGGTAATCCGATTTCCTTAATGTGGGGCCTTCACATCCATTGTTATGGTCTAAGGGGGTTGATTTAGTAAATTTCCCAAACTTCGTTGGCTCTGGTGATGGTACTTCTTTCTCTAGGGACACTCGTGGTTGACAGACACCCTGTGTTCTGTCAGGATTGGGCATCGTGAAAACGGGAGAGGGGTAGGAGGCAGACGGACCAGAGTTCTTAACTGAACTCCCTTCAGGAGTTTCTAGTAACGCCTGTTGCGGAGGCGCCCATGTGAGGGTCAGATGTGCTGGCCCACGTGTGCAGCCTGCGTGCAGCAGAAGCTCCTCTCTGCGCCCGGGAGTCCAGCTGGTGGCTTCGGGAACAGACCAGGGTCATTCTTCCATAGAGGATGAGTGGATTCATTTGTGCCGGGCGCTTGTCCATTTCCTCAGATCGGCCACCATGCTCCCCTTGTATGTTATTTATTCTCCGAAGATTTACTGTCCAGCATCTTTGTGTGACATTTACTGTGTGAATCTAAGGCATGCTGTGAGAATGTAATTCTGTGATCATCTTTTCTGAGTATTTCTGTGAATATTTATTGATACAGAATATGAATTAAGGGGGCAGTTTTGCAGCTGGGTGTGTTTTATACCTGATCTAATATTGACTGACTCGTGGCCAGGTAACCGTGGCTGCCTCGGTTAGTAAGGTACCCTAGAACCCCAGGAAAATCAAGACAGTTTAAAAGTGAGAGTTTATTATTTTTCATGTAAGAATGTTTGGAAGAAATGGGATCATTCATTTCCTTTCCTTCAGACGTAAAGAAATGTTTCTGACACCTTGCCTATTTTAGCCATTTCCCACCGAGAGGATTAATTTATGTTGTGGTAAAGATGTATCATTTTCAATCTGTCAAGATCATTGGTAAGTTATTTGCTGCTTGAAGAATGTTCCATGTAAACATCAAAAATTAGCAGGGGAAATGGTTTCTTAAACCCCTACCCTGTGCAGTTCTGATTGTGTACATTTTTCAATGTTGGAAATGTTATTTTACCTGTAGTTAGAGAGATCAGCTTATTTTGTCTGACTAATGTGGTTTCGGTCACTTTCGCTGCCAGGTTATAAATAATATTACGTGTTCCTGCCTTCTAAATTCACGCTCCCAAGTTCCATATTCAAGGCACATTCCTGGTCCCGAAGTCAGTCATCTTGTGGAACGTTTCATTTGCAGAATATTCTTTGCAAGTTACTGTCTTGACGAGGCTGGATCAGAGCTCGGCTTCATCCTGGAGTCTCGGGTGTTGCTTAGGTGTTCTGGGAACCAAGATGTATTTTGGAATTTCTAAATCCTAGGAGAATCTTCTCATCTCATCTTTTTCATTTCCCCTCCTTATTTGTTTGGTTCCCTTTTAATATATATATATTTTTAAAAGTATTCACTTAAGCAAAGGTTAGAACGGTTAAAATTGTGGCCAGCAAACTCTCTGTAAAGGACCAGATGGTAAATACTTCATGCTTTGCAGGCCACAGGTCTCTGTTTCAGCTATTCAGCTATAGAATTACACACACAAATGGGCACAGTGTGTTCCATTAAAACTCAACGTTTTGGTACAACTTTATTTACAAAAGCAGGCCTGATTAGGCCCACAGGCCATGGCTTGCCAACCCCTGACTTAGATCATCAAGATAGAGAATTTAAAGATAAACGTAATTAAATTTCCTGAAAATAAAGAGTTAGAACAGTTCATGCCTTTCTCCTATCTGGCCTATACTTACGAAGAGGAGCGGAAGCCAGCATTTGTAGAGTATTGTAGTCTGTACGTACTGAATTCTTCATGTATGATGTCATTTCTAATCCTCACACCAGCCCCACTGAGACGACGCTGTTACTCTCATAATCAGATTAAAAAATAGAAGCTTAATAAGGTTAAGTTGCACCAAGCCCGGTGTTCACCTGTTCAAAATAGGTAGTCTTTCCAGTGTACTCACTCTCTCCCTCCACATCCCTACCTTTTTAAAAACTATCGGGCCATCAGTCCTCTGGCCGCCCAAGTGCTAACCTGACAACTCCAAGTTCCACATGTTGGGACACTGGCGCGGTTCTGACAAACAGCGTGTCGGAGCCGGAGAGCTTGCCAGTTCGGTTTAGGCAGGGTCTTTGTCAAGGGTGAGCTGGGGCTGGCTCCACAGAGCCAACTGTTAAATATTCAGGTTTGCAAACCAGTTAAAGGATTCTCTTGAAAACGGCCATGGGGAGAGTGTCTATACCAGTGAAAGCAGCAAATGCTCCCCGTGATTGAGGGCTTCCCCACGCCCCCCTTTACCGCTATTCCACTCTCTTTTCATTTTATCTCTCAGGTTAATCTCACTCGGTTTGTAGTTCAAGGGATCGTGGTCCTATGTCTGCAAATATGCCTAAAAAATCAATCACCGATGAATAAATAATGGCCACTGCAAACAACGGGTCGCTCCGCAGCCCTACAGCGGTCACCTTGTAATGACAATATCAGGTTATAAAACTACATGTGCAGTATGATCCCAGTCTTGGTTTTTTACCCCCAAAAAGTTAACCGTGGTTACTTTAATGTGATGAGAAGATGGATACTCTTCTTTCCATTTTTCCTATTATCTAAATGAGCCTGTATTACTTTTTTAGTCCATATAACCGGAAGATACAGGGTGACTCTGACCCCCCTCCAAAACAGAGAATTTAATCAATTTCTTTCTTTTGGATTAATTTAACTGACTTCCAGGGTGGAGGCCGGAGGGAGGCAATGAGATCATCCTCTAGGAAGGGCCTTTAGCCAGCTGATTGTTTGGGTTATTAGTGCCTATTGCTTAGTTAAGAAAGTAATTTCTTTTTTTCCTGTCCCCATATTTGCCCACTAACGCTCCTAAAAGAGCGACTCTCGATCAGGCTGAAGATGGAAACCACCCAGAGGGTGTTTAAACCCTTTGCCTGGGCTCTACCCCGAGACTGTGATTTGGTTGGCGGGCAGGACTTGGGCGTGGGGAGTTTTTAAAAGTTCTCTCGGGTTAAGAAGTAATTCTCACCTATAGCCAGGTTTGGGGGACCGCTGCTTTAAAATGTGACCCATCCAGTTGTCATAGCTGTGCGCTTTCCTGCTTGAGTTAACCTATTTCCACCTGGCCCGGAGAAAGGTTAGTGTAGCCACTCGCTTAGACTCGGAAATGAGTCCAAGGGGGCTGAACAGATGCTCGCTTGTGTCTTAATGGAGAAGCCATGGAAAGAGTTGGCTGGGTTTCGGGTTATAATAGCGTTGCATAGTCTCTCCTGGAAAATATTTGTATATATATTTTGGCTGACTCAGGGGGAAAAAATTCAAGTATTAAACGAGAGAAACACACCCAAGGAAATTAAACCATTTTTTTGGTTTGCTTTTTTGTTTAGGCTACTTATAATAACCATGAAGTAACAGATTATATCCATTAATGCATAATTTAAGGTTCTACATTGTGTTATTTCACTTCATATTCCTGGGTCTCCTGCTATTTAGCTTTTATAGTAGACCTTTAACATTCTTTCATGGCTTTTGCCATGAAATTTGAATAAGTTATTCAAATTATAAGGATTTTAAATTTTCAGGAGTTACTGATATACAGCAAGTCATTAAAAAGAGTAAATTTTCCCTGGAAATGACTGTGCAACACAGACTTGCAGAACTGACAGAATTATGCTGACATTTAGAAGCTCCGGCTGAACAGAGATAAAGTAACTCCCCCACCTCCACCCCCACGCCTTTATTTTTAGAAAGCAAATTAAACTTAAATAGGCATAATAAAGGCAGAAAATCTCAGAAAAAAGATAAACTAAGGTAAGGTCTAAAATAACATACCTCCCCCCACTCACCCAAAAGAAGAGCATGAAATAGGAAAAAGTCCCAGAGAG